CTAGATAGAATTTGGTAGTCTTAGTTGAGAATGGGGAGCTCTGGTAGCGTAGTGCCTAAGGCACTTGACTGCTAACCAGAAGGCTGGCGGTTTAAACTCATCAGCCACTCCTCAGGAGGAAGATGGGGCAATCTACTTCCATAGTGATACTGCCTCGGAAACTCAAGGAGGGGTTGCTCTGAGTAGGGTCTGACTTGACGGCACATAACAACAACATCAGTCGAGAATGACAGAATTTTAGAAAATAGTTTATTTTGCTCACCAACAAGAAGATTTGGAGGTTGTTTTGGTTCTCTAGTGCTGCTATACCAGACATACAGTTTAGAGGGTAAAGTCCGAGTTCAAAGTTCTAGCTTTAGGGGCTGGGTGAAGACCCCTTGACCTTGGGCTTCAGCTCTGCCTCTTTTTCCAGGCTCACTAGAGCTAGAGGCTTTTTCTGATTCAAGTAGCTGCTGGCTACTGAGGCTGATGAACCTTGACAGGTGAAATGGCAGCCCCAAGATTAGCAGACAATACAGCAGGCCACTAGTTCAATTCCAGGAACAATCCCAACGTCGTCAGGCAACATGAAATGCCAGGACTCAGCCAAATGTAGGGTCCAGATGTGCCAAAAGCTGGAGACTTTCCCAAAGCCTCTCCTTATATACTGGAAGCAGGCCACACCCCAGGTGTGGCCCATTGATTAACATTGATTAACATCTCACAGCAGATGCCATCATGTGGTGATTACAGTCTCATCATGGGGAATAACTACTTCCAGCTGCTGAGTTGCTCAGACCCACAGCCCAGCCACATTGACTCACAGCCTTAACTACCACAGCAGTAACTACCAGCTGGCGCAGTATTGTCAGGTCCACTGTCACTGTGAATTTCTTGGCTTTTCCCTCATGATCTCAGCGTTGCTGCTGAAACTCCAGCCGTTGTGTCCACATACAAGACAAGAATAAAGAGGAAGAAGAAAATACAACAATAGATGTCTGCTTTCATCTCATTGGTCAGAACTGTGTATGTAACCATTCCTAGCAGCAAAGGAAGTTGGGTAAACAAGTACTTTAGCTTTTTCAGCCTCTGCAGTAAAGGCTGCAAGAGAAAAGGGGACAGGGTGTTAGGTGATCTGCCACAGAACAGGTTAAGTCTTATTAGATTTGACTTTTTTTTTTAAAAAAAAAAAATCCGTTATACAGATATTAATTGGCTTGTCAGAAATTAATGTAGAAAATAAATGGAAATTTTTATCAGTCAGCATGATTAAATGTGGTGTTGATGCTAAAAGAGCTAATGTAATTAGTTGTAAAACCAAAAACCTAACCCACTGCCATTGAGTCATTCCAACTCATAGTGACCCCCATTGGGTTTCTAAGACATTAAATCTTTACAGAAGTAGATTGCCCCATATGCCTTCCACAGAGGAGCTCTGGTAGCTTAGTGCCTAAGGCATGTGACTGCTAACCAGAAGGTTGGTGGTCCAAACCCACCAGCCACTCCTTGGAAGGAAGGTTGGGCAATCCACTTCCATAGTGATACTGCCTGGGAAACCCAGGGAGGGGTCACTATGAGTCAGGTCAGACTTGATGGCACATAACAACAACAACACCTTCCACAGAGTGGCTGGCAGGTTGGAACTACCAGCCTTCTGATAATCAGTGAAATGCCTTAGGCACTGAGCCAGGACAGTTCCTTGTAATTAGTTATAAACTCTCACTGTCGTCGAGTTGGATCCGACTCATAGCGACCCCTCCTTGGGGTTTCCAAGGCAGTATCTCTATAGAAGTACATTGCCCAACCTTCCTTCCGAGGAGTGGCTGGTGGGTTTGAACTACCAGCCTTCTGGTCAGCAGTCAAACAAATGTCTTAGGCGCTATGCTACCAGAGCTTCCATAATTAGCTATAATGATTAAAAAGACACTGTTCTAAGATAAGGAAGTAGTTAATGGCTCATTGGTGGTAACTGATGCCAATCAGACCACATTTGAAGTATAGGCTTCTGTTTCAGGTGCAATCTTATAAGGGGAGTGTGGTATGCTGTAAGACACTGGAGTATTTAGGCCAGAGAAAAGAAAACTTAGGTGAGAGCTCTGGTAGCATA